AGGCAGCATCTGACACGTCAGACCATGCTTTGTCTCCCGCCACCCAGCCCAGCACTTTACCCTCTGCAGTACCTGTAGTGCTGAGTGACTCGTTACCTGTTTTGAGGCTGGGCCTGAACTCTCGGCTAGTGCTGGGAGGTGGGAAGGCCTCTGGGGCTGTCTGTGCTGGCAGGGCTTGGTATGGAGGAGGAGTCAACTCTTCGTCACCAGAGAAGCTCCTCCGCACCCCGCCTGTCATGGGCAGGCTCGACAAACTGACAGGCTTCTTCCCAACTGGCATCTTCCTCTCTAAACATCAAGTCAGACTGAAGTAAGCTTTGACTTACGTGCGTGGTACGAAAAGTGCAATGCATAACTAGGAAGGCTGGGTTGCACAGGACACTGCAAAGAGAACCTACTATGCTAGGGTTGTATTTCCTGCAACAATGGAGTGTTTGAGTTTGTGTGAGTGTTGGGAGTGGTAGTGGGAGACACCGTTTCTGCTCTGAGTGCTCTCTGATTGCCTCCTAACTCTCCAGTATATTTAAAAAATTACAAAGCAAAATGAACTATAGAGACCATTTAGTGTGGAGAACAGCTGGCTCATTTCTTTCAAGAAAATCTCAGCTTGAGGTAGGGTAAAAAAAACAATGGAAAAGAGTCTTTTTTTCCCCTTTCTCTGGCCATGCTGGGGACTGGGAGGACCTCAAAAACACTAGGCAGGTACTTTACACCAAGCTACACTCCCAGACTGAGAGAAGATTTTAAAAGCGATACTTTCAGGGTAGTATTTCACTGGCCAAATAAGCTCAAATGTTGGTTTTCAGGGAGAAAGCAAAGTAAAGTAGTTTTAACTGCATTATCCAGGAGGCAGGATTTTACTGATATAAAATGTGCTCCCCTAACAATAAATTCTTTTTTTTTTTTTTTTTTTAATACTAGGGGTTAAGCCCAAGAGTGCTTTACTACTGAGCTTCAATCCCCAGTCCTTTTTGTTTTGTATTTTGAAATAGGGTCTTGCTAGTTGCTGAGGCTGGCCTTAACTTGGAAACCTCTTGTCTCAGCCTCTGAAGTTGCTGAGACTACTGGCATGTGCCAACATGCCTGGATAACAAGACATTCTTTTAGAAAACATTTCTAATTCTTATTTTGAAAAGCACTTCTAAAATTTAAAAGCTCATTGCCTGAAAGTTCTTAAGCTGCTTTCTTTTGAAACAAAATTTATCGCACCCTTCGGCTATAGTTTCGTTAGCCTTGTAGTACTTACAATAGTGCTTTTACTAATCAAAAATATACTCTCAACTTTGCTAATACCAAATCACCAAGTATAATGCATTACTGAGGTTGACAGCTGAAGGATACTTACACAGCTTTGTGACTCTAAGTTATTTCTGTTCTTGTCCAAAGTCTACAATGACCCAGGTAAGAGCAATCAGAATTATGCTTCCCAAAATCAGAACTAAAAGATAAATCTAAGACAACATTCCTATGTAAAATGATATGGAAGCTAAAGTTCCAGTAAGTACACATTCAACTCTCAACCGCCAAACCAAAATCATGTGCAACAACTACTTAGACTTTTTTCTAATAAATTATATAACTTATAGAGGTAAAATGGCAAGGAACAATCTCCAAATCCTACTACTCCCAGTAGCCCTAAAAATAGTGAAATTTAGTAGAAATTAGTGTTGCTTTTCCTGCTCCAGAATTACTACACCTTGAGAAAGAAGCTTTTGAGATTGAACAGTCTATAGATCCTCTTTGCAGAACTTATTTTCAAAAGAGCTAGTTAACAACTACACCTTTACAGCATGAATTCAGCTCATTATCCCCACAAGCTAGAATGATGAAGCCAATCAACCATGTCTCTGTAAAATGTAAACAGTACCAAAGAACATCCTAATAAAAGATTTTAAGTACCAAAAAGACCAAAGAGTTATAAGATGAAACAACAAAGCCAGAACATAATAACCAACCAGCAAACACAAGGTTTTATAGCCCACATAAAAGCCCATGTACTACTGACATAAAAGCCTGTTTTGCAAAGAATGACTTAGGTTTCTAAGCCCCAAGTTTGTTCTTATTTAGGTAAATGGCGTTGTGGGAAAATTTTCTAATAAATCGTTTTGTGTGTGTATAAAAAAGCAGCAGATAAAAACTGCTCCTTCTTAATACTACACGCTTTATCTTCAATTCCAACATTCAGAAATTTTATAATATTTTGACAACAAAACCATACTCATTTTGTGACCCATTTATAATTTTTACTTGATCCATTTAATGTAAATATTTATTTTTTGGTTCAGAAAATGTTCCAGAGTGTGCAATGGGTGTTACAAAATTTATGCCACACACACCGTATTTCTAAAATCCAAAAAATTCTGAATTCCAAACCACATCAGTCCTAAGGATTTCTAATGAGGGTGTATGTGTGTTTGTGTTTTCTTTCTCTCTCTCTTTTTTTTTTTGTGGTGCTTGGGATCCACCGCAGGGCATTACATTTGCTAGGCAAGAGCTCTATCTCTGAGCTACATCCCCAGCTCAGGTTTGTACTTCTTTTCCTTTCTATATCCAAAGAACAATTTAAAGGCATTAAAATGATGTCATAATATTGAGAGCTATAAAAAGTCACAGTTTATGAATATATTCCATCTATATAGCTAAATTCAATATTCCAGCTAATCCAGAAATCTAGTAAGGATAAATATCACCAGTACTGATATTATTACCTCATTAATTACATTCTTTCTTCTATGCCCCTAGCTCATTAATTTAAATAATCTAAATCCCATAGCCAGAACCAAGCCCTGAAAGAATCATATTGAGGGAAGCGTTTGAAATGTGTACACAATCAGTCATAAATTAATAAATAGTATTCTTCATAAATCTTGGAGTAATAAAATTCATCTTCATTTTTTTTTTTTGCAATATGGGAATGAACCCAGGGCCTTATGCACTTAGGCTAGCTCTACCAGTGAGTTATAGCCCAAGCCCTCTGCCTTTTTAAAATTCTTTTTTAAAAATTTTATTCTGAAATAGGGTGTCACTAAGTTGCCCAGGTTGGCGTTGGGTTGCTGAGAATACAGGTATGCGCCATCATATGTAGCATAAAACCATTTTTAATTTGATATCTGGGAAAAAAATACTGAAATCTCACAATTTTCTGACGTGTTTCCCAACAGAAAGTTATAAGACCTGTTAAACTGTCCTGTAAATTCCTCTTACAGAAAGCTAAGGGATTATATCTGCTAAAGTTAATCCACAGTTAAAAAATTCTCATTGAATTCTTCCTAATTATATCCAGATGAATAGGAACTCCTTCTGATCTGCCTGGTTTGACAATACTCTCTGAAGTGCTTTTAGGGGAATATCAGACTTTCTAGGCAGCTGTTGGCAAAATAATTCTGAGTCTGTGGGTCCTGTAAAGGGGCAAGAGACAATCTTCTCTATGTGTAGGGTGAGACCGACTAGGGTTTTGTGTTGGGAAAAAAACATTTTTTTTTTTTTTTGGGGAGATACTGGAGATTGAACCCAGGCATGCTCTACATCCCCAGCCCTTTTATTTTTTTGGTACTGGGGATTGAATTCAGGGGCAATCAACCACTGAGTCATATCCCCAGTCCTCTTTTATATTTTGTTTACAGACAGGGTTTCACTGAGTTGCTTGGGACCTCACCATTGTTGAGGCTAGCTTTGAACTTGTGATCCTCCTGTCTTAGCCTCTCAAGCCACTGGGATTACAGGTGTGCGCCACTGTGCCTCACTGGTTTAAATTTTTTTTTTTTTTTTTTTTTTTTTTAAGTTGTAGATTGGGCACAGTACCTTTGTTTTATTTTTATTTGGTGCCAGGGATCAAACCTAGTGTCTCAAGCGCTCTACTAACTGAGCTTCAACTTCAGCCCTTATTAAATTTTTTGAGACAGGGTCTTGCAAAGTTGCCAAGTTTGGCCTTGAACTTGTGATCTTCCTGCTTTAGTCTCCTTAGCTGCTAGGATTACAGGTGTCATTATTCCCAGCCTGAAATTTATTTTTCAAAGCACCATTACAGTGGCCAGTAGAAGTTTTTAAGTTCCTCCCTTAAAAATTATAAACAAATAAGTAATCAAAGATAAGAATAAAAATATATTTGAGTCTTTATGGTGCTATCAGCACTTATTTCAACATATGACAAGTCAGTTGGAGACATTTTTTTTAAGCCTTTTAAGTTTTAATCCTCCAGAACTTTTTGCTTAAAAAAATCTTTCATTAAGATACATAACCTTATCTTAGAATAAAATATTCTATGACATGCTTCATGAAGTTATAAAACCTATGGCTTTCTATGCTGGTGGTGAGGGTAATATATTTTTGGTACTAGTGATTAACCCAAAAGTGCTCTACCACTGAGCTACATCACCAGCCCTTTTCTAATTTTTAAATTTTTAGACAGGGTTTCAGTAAGTTCCCAGGATGACCTCAAACTTGCAATCCTCCTGCCTCAGCGTCCTGAGTAGCTGGGATTACAGGCCAAAAAAATATTTAAATTTAAAAGAATCGAATATCAGCATATTTTTATATTTCTGTGGCTATTAATGTCAATGATCATTCACTGTAAGGCAAAATATAGCACAAAAAGCACACTGAGAAAAACTGGTTTGGTAGCCATCAGCCTGGATTGATTGTTCGCTCTGAGTCTACTGTAAGCATCAAGTACCTGCTTTTTATTTATTTTTTTAGCTTTTAAAATGAAAAGTTAAAAAAAATAAAAAAGTATTGACTTTTGGTAGGTTTTTAAATGATTTCAAGAAACATTTGTAGGTTTCTTTCTTTACCATGTAAATACTATGGCAGTAATTTCTCCTCTCAATTAAGTGTTTTTCATGATTGAAAAGGTTTGCCTTTTATGGTATACTGCACCTTTAAGCATAATACATAATGCAGATCATCAGTTCTCACAAGGATAGAATTTTCTGTGCAAGAATACTGTGACCCCAATTGGTTAACAATGAGAAAATGTATGTAAACACCACATGGTGACCCACTTTTCTTATGTCCTTTGTATTGCTGGGACTTAGCCTTTTTCTTCTGTTTTGATGAAGCTGATTGGCTTTCTCTTGATGCTGAAAAATAAAAAGGAAAATTGGTACCAGATAATTGCTTACCACTTTAGATACAATTTAGATGAACTGTCTTCATGAAGACCATTATGCTTATAAAAATACATGATGCTCTGAAATAAGGGTATACTTTTTCCTACAAAAGCAGGAGCCTCAATACCAAACAGATTCCACTATTTACTCAGTAGTACTTACTATACACCAATACATTTTTTTTGCCTGTAATTTTAAACTTGTCAAAACTGCAAGACCAGTTTAATCTGGTGACTACTGTGTTTCTATAGTCACTATGTAGTTCATACTGCCATGGTACACATGGTCTGATTCTGTGATAGTGTTGTTGAGTCTTAATATCTTACCTGGCAACCAATCAGACATAGGTATATTCTTGTCCTGTGAGCTCACAAGATGATTTATGTGAGACAGTCCTCTGGAGAATTGCTGATTTTTACAAAAGGACACCTTTTCTGTATACCAACTTACACTGTGATGCTGGAGGCTGTAGTTGATATCCAGTTAACTGACACCACCCTACAGGATAGAGGTCAGGAGACTCACAGTCTACCCACTGATCATACTCTTCTTCCCATCCATCAAAATGTATCCTCAAGAGACGATGAATAATTCGAGTTACTGTGGCTACACATATTAAACGTGGCTCCATGAGATCTACTGCTTCTAATTTCATTCCTACACGAAATCCATGATTTGGAACATCCTGACACAGAGAAGCAAAATATTAACACTGTTTTATAGAAAGACACAAAAGTCTACTATGATTTAGAAAGCAAAAAAGAGAAGACATATAGCCAAACAACATAATTTAAAACAAAAATTCCCATTCTTTAATTATGCAAACATATTATGAAACTAAAGCATTCAAGAACTAGGTATGATATGTTCTCATTTCTATTTCATTCAGATTAAAAACTTTAGAAACAATCTTTTCTCTTAAGAAAATATTTGTATTGCTTTATCATAAAATATTCATTCATTCATTCATTTTTGGGTTGGTCAGTCTGTCTGTCTGTCTGTCTATCCATCCATCCATCCATCCATCCATCCATCTATTGCTACCACAGATTGAACTCAGGGGCACTTGACCAATGAGCCACATCCCCAGCCCTATTTTGTATTTTATTTAGAGGCAGGGTCTCACTGAGTTGCTTAGTGCCTTGCTGTTGCTGAGGTTGGCTTTGAACTCATGATCTTACTGTCTCAGCCTTCTGAGCCACAGAGCATGGCCTAAATGCTTGTATTTATATTAGTCTTCATTAAGGTTATTCTAACACAGGCAAAGAAACATATGTGAGGTCATCATTATTATGCTTTCATTTAAACTTACCTTATTAAATAGTTTTACTGGTGCTGCAATGGAGCCAGTTTCCCTGAGGTAGTCAAACCATTTAAAAGGAAGTTTTGTGTAACCTAAAAGAAACAACTAGTTTTAAGTAGCAGTTCATTTAAAATTAGCATAAATATTATAATGCAGATAAAATAATTCAGCACATGCAATTTCAGATTTAGGCAATGTGAGAAGTTCCTAACTCGTGCTCTTATACTACAGAGTGCAATGGTTCCTTCATGTTACACCATCCTTCCTTTCCAGACACACAGGTGTGTCTGCCTACCCTAATGCAAAAGTGACTCTTCTCTGTTCTGTCTATAACAGACTTTTGAGGGTGTTTTTGGTTACACTGAAGACTGAACCTGGGGTTCAGCATGCTAGGCAAAAACTGTACAATTAAGCTATAGTCTATCCTCAGACTTTAGCTTTTTTAACCCCAGGCTTTTTTTTTAAAAAAAACAACCTTTATTTATTTATTTATTTTACCTAGTGCCTCACACATGCACTCTACCACTGAGCCACAACCCCTGCCCAGTCAATCCCAGGCTTTTGAACTTAAAACTCTGGAGCGGTATTTTTCTCTTTTGAAAGAAAACTTGTTGAGCCAGCAGTAGTATTGTAAACCTTTGTTTTCACTTTCCCCCCATCGTAGTGAAAATCTCAAGGTCCAGATGTTGAAATTAATAGTGTGATTTATTAAAGCTAGCTAGAATATAATGCTTTTAAAGCATCTCAGAACTCTCGTGTGTGTGTGTTTGTGTGCGTTATTTATACACATACATACATACTGTATATATACCCACATACCAAGAAAATCTAGGGCTGTGTTAAATGTAAGCAGGTACCATGTAAGAAGAAATCAGGATTAAACTCCAGTTAACACTGTATCAAGTACCTCTGGGTGGAGTAAGTTCAATCATGTTAATTTCACAGAAACCGACAGGGAAAATAGAAGGAGAGGTTGCATGGTAACAGAACCAATCAGATCCATCTGCTGCTTCTGAGCCATCGATCCCAATCATCAGGAATCCATCAGCCAGCACCTTTTAAATTAAGAGAATCCCAAGTACTTAAAATTAGACATCACTATTTAAAAAAATATAACCTTAAATTAAATGACATTCTAAAAGGAAAATCTACTGTATAAAGGTCTCTGAAGTAAAAAAAAATGCTTCTTTATTGAATTATATTAAATAATATGTTATAATGAAAAACCTATATAAGCTGTAGGGTGCACTAGAAACAAAAGCACAACAATATAGAAGTGATATCAGAGGTCTGGGAAACAGTATCTTTACCAACCACAAGAGTTGCTGCTCTTTACAATTTAATCAGGTAGGACTGTCAGCCACTCTAGGTAGTATTGCCTTTACTTCTTTCCTGCTGATTTATCACACAAAGGAGTTTCTCCAAACCTTCTTCAGCTTTAAGTTCTAATTTGACTTCTTTCATCATGCTCCTCCACAACCCCAAGGGTGGCCCATGAAGGGGCTCTTCTTTATGCCTCATATTAACAAGAAGTCCAGTCTCCTCCCATTTTTTAACAAGACAAACTTTTTCTTTCTTTCTTTTTTTTTTTTTTTAGAGAGGGAGAGAGAGAATTTTTTTTTTTAATATTTATTTTTTAGTTTTCGGCGGACACAACATCTTTGTATGTGGTGCTGAGGATCAAACCCGGGCCGCACGCATGCCAGGCGAGCGCGCTACCACTTGAGCCACATCCCCAGCCCGAAAACTTTTTCACCTTGCCCTGTTACCACTAGGACCTTGGTCCAAAAACATCATTTCTTATACTCTAATGTTTCCCAATTTCTATTACATTTAAAAAATATTTTATCTCTAGCAATAATTATAGGTTCAAACTTACAGAAAAGGCACAACAGCATAGACCATGAACTCAGAGGCCTAATTTGAGGTACAAGTCATGCAATTCCTTGCTGAATCATTTCTGTTGTTATTGGTTATTTACTCAATCCAGTGACCTTTTCCCCCAGCACGTATGCTCTTCCAATTGCAGCTTCATGGAAGTACCTGATAACTACTCTTAACTTCTTGAAACATTTTCTCATAGATTTTCATCACAATACGGTCTACTGGTCAATATTTCCATCTCTATAGCCCCTTTTTCATTTCTTTTGGTAGTTGCCCTTTCACTTCTAGCCCTTAAAATTAAGTTTCTGACTGAGGCTGTTTTCTTTGTTTTGAAAACTTAATATATACCCTGAATGATTTAATGGTCAGTTTCTTTCTATTCCAATGATTCACAGAGGTATTTGAGTTTGCCTCCCTTCCAGAGTCTTAGTCCTGCATTTTACCTGTATTCTAAAACTAAGGTATCAAGCCAACAGCTCCTTCTTTATTCCTTCAGAGGTAACTGGTCATCAGGTCCCACAATACCAACTCAAACATTTAGTCCTCCTTCTCTTTTTTTTTTGTATTGGGGATTGAATACAGGGGTGCTTAACCACTGAGGCACATCCCTAGCCCTTTTTATATTTTATTTATAGTCTCACTAAGTTGCTTAAGGCCTAAGTTCCTCAGACTGGCTGTGAGCTTGCAATTTTCCTGCCTCAGACTCCTGCTGGGATTACAGGTGTGCGCCACCATGCCTGGCTCGGTCTCTTCTTTATCCTTGCCCTTAGCGGCTCTCTTCATCCACTATGAACATTTCCGCTGTTAAACAGAATGACCTGTGTTCAATCCAGAAAGCTTTACTAACTTTTTGTATCTACTAAGATGCCCAGATGGCCTGGCCAACCATTAAAGGCTACACTATTTTTAGTCTCTGTCCCCAGGTTCCTTTCTTCTAGATATTTCTATTAAAATTGGACACATACAACAATAACTTTCTCTTCAAGTTAATGGTTTCGCCTTCTGTCTCTGAAGAAAAGTATCCCACTCATCAGGATTCTCTTCTCCATCTTTCTAACCATAGCTGGCTGGATCAGGGGCTAGTAATGTATCACACAGGCAGTCAAGCCAATAGCTGGGTTCAGCCCTTCAGATTCTTTCAGTCATTAGAATTAACAGACACAGAGACTGTTGTCAAATCATGGTGGGAAGGAACTGAAAGGCTATTATATAAAATAGAGCTAGGGACTGCCAGTGCACATGGAGTGAGCAGGGAAACAGTAGAAACAGAGTGAAAGAAAAGTGGCATCAACTCAGAGTGGAGGAGAGATGGGACAGAAAGGCCCTGGAAGGAGGGGAGAATAATACTGGATCTGTGCTTTCCCAGTTCTCATACACTGTCCTTGTGTCTGTGTTTCTCTACTGTGACCTTAGAGTAACTTTCTCAGAGCTAACTTGAGTGGGTTTCTGTACCTCATCAACAAAAACCTTGACCTAAATATCCAATGCAACTTCCCTGATATTGCTGCATGTGAACACTTGCCATTTCCTACACATGGCCTATACTTTTACCTTAGGCTATTTTGTATTAAGCTTATTTTTGTACATCTTATTTTTGTTCCATATGACTGTAAACTTTCCAAGAGTTCAAATCACATCTAGCACGGAAGTATTAATTATTCTCCAAATGAAGCTTGATATTCTCTTCCCTGGTCATTTCACTTCCCTGGAATAGAGCATGATACAATGGCACTGCTTCCCAAACTTGCCGATTGTGAGACCACTTACAGAACTTCTTTTTTAAACAAATATAGATTTCGAGGCAATATTTCTTGCTATTCTGATTACACAGGTTTGCAGGAGATCATGGGAATCTGATCTCCCTTATCTGGCAGTTTTACCACTAGTCAGGTAGAACCAGTTTTAGAAGATGGGGCATCGAGCCAGTCTTGTGCAGCTTTGTGATGGTAATAAGAGGCACATGGGATATGGCAGACATCATAAGTGTTTGCCCAACTGTATTAAGATGTAAATCACAATTTACTACATTTTTACATAAGCAGATTCTGCATTAGTGTTTCTTAGAGCTGTATATGAGAATCACATAGGGGTCTTTAAAAAATGCCAACACAGAGGTCCCAATACAGACTAATTAATTTGGAATGGAGGGAAGGGGTTTGGCCAATTTATTTTTTTTTAAAGTTCTCCAGGAAATCTTGATGCTTACTGAAAATTGAGAACCCTTCTAGATATTTTCATAAGAACAGTCACATATGAAATGGAAAAGAGAAAAAAAGAAAAAGTATATCAAGAGGAAGAAAAATCATAAAAAGAAACACAGGAAAATTGAAGATAAATTTGCCCTTGTTATAATACTGTTTTGGATTAACTTTGACCAGGAAGTAACTTTGAAATACTCTTTCTCTAAGTCAGGATATGCTTCTGCAAATAAAAACAGCAGACTCAAAATGACTATCATAATAAGCCACAAAGATCTGACAATAGAATTCAAATTCACTTTGAAATTCCTAATAAACCTTTCCAGTGAAGATCCAGATATGCACAATTTATGAATATGCCAGGGTTTCCTTCTACTAGCATAAGCCCAGTTCCTTTATAATTGTATTTGTTTCAAAACCTATTCTCTTACCTTTCTAATGGTTGCGACACATATTGTAGAAAGATTTAATGGGTCTATAGCTTCCAATTTCATTCCTTCCTTGAACCATTCCCCACTCTGGTCTACTTCTTTTACCTAAAGAATTATATGAAAGCACATGCAATGTTATAGATGTTACTACCGATTTGAAAAGGTTTACCAGATTCTTTCTCCTTCCTACCTAATATTACAACTTAAATTTCCATTAGGGAATATAGAGTTCAGGCAAAAACAATTTAAGAATAAGTATAATAAAGATTTGTGATACTTATGGATTATAAAATCTTAATCCATTTAAATGAACACATGTAACTGTGATTTCCATAATTTTAGGAAAAAAACCCCACAACCCTCTTTCAAATCTAATTTACAAATGAGGGTTCTTATAAAAACTTCTTACCTTAGCAAATAAATGTGGTGGTGTATCAAAATGTCCATCCTGTTTCTTTGTAATATCTACAAGGAAAAGTTACATACTAATCTGTCAGCATTTGTGAGAAGACCAAAAATCATGTTTCTTTGAAGGCTTCAAACTCACAAGGTATGTAATACTCTAAAACATGGCAGAAAGACATGCCTTCTACATTTATGGTGAATAATATTAAGTCTTTTCTCTCTTTAGGATATATGTCCATATGTTATTAAATACATTTCAGCTGATTAGAATGTTGGTAATCCCATAATTTGGGAATTACAACTTTAGAAACATGTTTTAATGTGTCTAGTATCACCAAGCCTAGCCACATTTAATCTTGACATTTTAATTAAAATTGAATGGGAAGGGAAAGACTATATGTCTATCAAATGGGCATGGCTAAGAGTGCATAATTAATATTATTATTTATGTTATCTTTTTATAGTGTTGGGGATTGCCCCAGAGCCTCACCCCAAGGCCTAATGCATGAAAAGTGCATTATTTTTTTAATTGAGAGTGAGAGGAAGGCATATAAAGGAATTAGTTAGGAGACTAATTTGAACCTTCACTAACTGAGGTAGAATAAACAGCCCAAACAACTAGAATGGTATTTTTTAATCTATGCTATTCTTCAGAGAAAAATAACCAAGTAGCATAATTCAGCCTCAATGACACTCTCAATAAGAGTACTTGTTTCCGGTACTCACCTGATCTTTTGAAACGATGGCCTATGCTTCGAGACCAACCAATGTGATGGATTAAGGGGCTGTGCATATGGCACCAGAAGTCATCTGTTCTATCTTCACTCTCTTCATACACTAGTCTCAATCTTCCACCAATTACACTTTCCACTACCGCCACTCGTGTCCGACACAAATGCCTCTTGTCAACCACTTCTACTCTCATGCAAGGCTTAAAAGGATACTGCATACTCTCAGAAACCTTAAAATAACAGACAGAACTGTTCAGAATTCATGAAGAAGGTATATAAGTAATTTTAATAAGTAATATAAAAAATATTGAATATACTCGATATTTGACCCAGGTCACCCAGTTCATGAAATTAAAACAACTCTTCAAAAAATCTCAAAGTTATTCTCTCTTAAGAGCTCTTCAGTCTTTTTAAGATCCTGTTTTTACCTTTTGTGAGAAATCAGGAGGAAGTGTTTTGGCACCAGTAAGTCTTTTCACTAGAAAGGCTTTCCAGTTTGTATACTTATGTTGAATAGCTGAAACAAAACAAATAACCAGTTATACTTCAGCAGGAAGTACAACTGCTTCCTAAATTATTTGTTAAAAAAAGTAACATATTTCTCTGTCAGAGTATTAAGGTTCTCAAAGTAACAAAAATAGAGAAAACATGTTTTGTTAGTACAAAAGTTACTTTCATTGAAAAGTATTATCTTAATGTCTATATTACTTTAAGATTACTATGTTTGAGACAGCACCAAGGTAGATGTACTTACTTCTTGGAGGAACAAGAGGTTTTCCACTGGCTGCACACCAACCAACTGGATGGATATCAGAACCACATATATTGCACCAGAAGTCCAGACCAGAGTCATTTTCAAATCCTTCATATCTTAAAAGGGCATTATAACCTGAGACCAAGAAATCAATCACTATATGAGGCAAATAAATAAGAAAACCTTGAAGTAAATGGCTGTCAAGCTTTAGTGTGCATCTGCAACAGAACCACATGCAAGATCTGTTAAGAGACAGAGGTTGGGTGGTTTGAGAATTTACATTTCTAATAAGTCCCTGCGTGATGTTGTTGCTACTTTGAGACCATTTGTTCAATGTGATTAATTCAGCTGTTTTTAGAGCATAGCTTCCTGCCTGGAATGCATTTCAATTTACTGATAATTTCTCAAAATTTAGGAAAAAATGTTGTGAGAATAAAAGAGAAAGTTTTGATAAATTAGTAAAACCTTGTCGAGTCACAGAAATCTAGCTGAAGTATATTTAAAAAAAATCACTTTATTAGCTGATCAGGTGGCCAATTGCTCTAAGATAATTCTCAATGTGGCTACTTCAAGAATCTTAAAATTCTGTCTTATTGGGAAATAAAATTTTAAAATGCTAGGTACAAAATTCAGTAAACATAAAAGTATGTAAAATCACTTAAAAATTATGTCCTAGGCAAATAATAAGCTTTATTTTCTGGAAAAAAATGTATATCGTGTTTATAATTTAGCAAACTTTAAGTTAACAGGTTAAGGCTTAATTTGAGGCCTCTACTGAAATAATGGTCAATGTATTTGTATTTCAGGATAGAAGCCAAGTTCAGCTTGCATTTTCTTATACTAATATATATGATAAAAATTTAAAGCATTATATTTTTAGTTCTAAAACTCACAGAACAATTCATGAACTTGCTAAATATTACTGAATTCTATGATTAATACAAGGCTTAATTCTACAAGATCAAAGTGATTTAAAAGGAGACATGAAGCAATTAGATAAAACAGAAATGTAAAGTGAAAGATGGAAGCTAGAAATAATTCTTAGGTATTAAATGCATTATTTTTTTTTTTTTTTGTACTAGGGATTAAACCTAGGGATGCTTAACCACTGAGCCATATCCCCACTTCTTTTTAATATTTAATATTTATAGACACAGGGTCTCACTAAGTTGCTAGGGTCTTGCTAAGTTGCTGAGGCTGGCCTTGAATTCGCAATCCTCTTACCTTAGCCTCCCAAGCAACTGGGATTGCATGCATGTGTCACTGCACCTGTATAAATGCACTGATCTATTTAAAATGCAATGGACTTAAACATCTGGGACATAAACAATGTTATTTTAAATTTTAATGCTTATAATATAAGCACTTAGAGGATGCTTATATAGTTATGTAAATACTTCAAGAAAAGGTAGGGATTGAACTGGGTGGTGATACAGCAAAGTACAGAGCTTTGGACAGTCACTTGCAATGGTGATCCAGGGCATATGACAAAAAACAATGATGCATTAAGGAGAGAGACTAGATTCATCAGAACAGATGGTTTATGATGGGAGCTATAAGTTTGATGAGTGGTGAATGATAAAACTCATCAATATTTGTAAATGGTGGGTGACCATTTCCATCCTTTAAGGATGAGGAAGCTATTAAAGATTCTTAAGCAGAAAAGTAGAATTAAAATTATATTTAGGGGCCCTGGGATGCAGCTCAGTAGTAGAGTGCTTGCCCAGCATGTGAAAGGCCCTGAGTTCAACCCCTACTACTGTAAAAAAAAATTTGTTTCTGGATACTATTACGCCTGCCTGATATCCAGGTGGCTCAGGAAACTGAGGCAGGAGGATTGCAAGTTGAAAACCAGCCTCAGCAAAAGTGAGGCGCTGAGCAACTCAGTGAAACCCTGTCTCTAAATAAAATACAAAAAGGGGCTGGAGATGTGGCTCAGTGGTCAAATCCCCTGAGTTCAATCCCTGGTACCCACCCCGCCCCCCGAATTTTTTTTTTTGTTTTTTGTTTAAGGTAAATTAAAGTCTTACAGCAATATAATGTGGGGTAGTATGCAGAGTGTTCTGAGAAGAATGACTAGAAATGAGATTCAAAGAGGAGGATTACCCCCTCTCACAGTAAGTAAGGATAATTCTCCTTATCTGAGTGGTTGCCCTTCTCTAAAGTACTATAGTACACTACTTACTTTACCACAGTACCACTGATTGACTACCTTGTTGCACAATGCCTGTATTTAACATTTGGCAGATATGAGCTTACTGAAAAAACAAACCTTATATTTTCACACATCAATTGTCCATACTGTCTAATGTACCAAGATCCCTAATATGAGCCATAAGGTCCCAAGGGCCAGGCACAGTAGAGGCCATAGGAGTGAAGAGTAAGGAAGAAGTGAAGTTGTACAACATTATCAATAGTGTTTACTTTTATCATTATGTACTGTATAACTTTTTTTTTTTTTTTTTTTTTTTTTAGTTATCTCAACTTTTGTTAATTTTCAAAGTATTTCCCTACATAAGGGTTGGCAAACTATATTTTGGCCCATTTTCTGATGAACCCAGGGAACTCAACCTCTGAGCTATATCCCCACAGTCCTTTTTATTTTGAGACAGAGTCTCCCTAAGTTGTCTTGAACTTGCAATCTTTCTGCCTCAGCCTCTCAGTAACTGTGATTACAGGCATATGCCAACATGCCTGGATGATTTTTTTTTTTTTTAAATGGCCTGGTATCTAAGAGTAATTTCATAATTTTAAATGGTTGAAAAGAAAAGTAAAAGGAAAAGCAATATTTTAGTAAGATGTGATAATTCTATGAAATTCAAATTTCAGTGCCTATAATAACCAGAACACAGTCCATTTGTTCACGTACTGCTATGGGTGCTTGAATGTTATAATGGTAAAGAGGATTATATGGCCTACAAAACAGAAAATATTATTTGGCTTTTTATAGAAAAAAACTTGTCAATTCCTATTCTATGTCATATCATTTACCTGGCAATATTTGTAAAATTTATAAAAATACTTTAAAAAAATTATGAGTGTCATTGGCATTTTCTAGTAAATGATCATGCATGTTTTCACCTGCTAATTTTATAATTCCAGCAATCCAGAAGACTTTGGTAGGTAGGCTGCAGTCTGTATTGGGAACTTCTACTCTCACATTTTCTGAGATATCACCCCAGCAGGTCCCCATAGGTGCCTGTCATATAAAAATTATTAAATTATCATCTTATTAACATAAGGCCTAAAACATATTATTCAAAAGAAAAGAAATTAAGCATTACCATCAATAATAGAAATATTAAACTAAAAATGTCTTTTTAATTCATTCAATTCCCTCTAAAAAGGTAACTGTCATTCCCCCTTAACTGAAATTCTAATCAGAAGAGGTCAGGGTCAAGATTAAACTCAAGATAAAGACAGAATCTCTATATATTAGACAGATTCATGTTGACTTCAAAATTCAACAGTTTTAACACAAGACTTAAACAACAATTTTCCTAAAAGCTGAATACAACCTTGGTAGACTTCATGAGATAAAGATGATTTGAAAAACTTATTTTTAATGAATACACTTATCCTAATCCTTAATTTTAAAAGATATAGTCAAAGAGCAGAAATAAAAATAATTCAAATCAGCAATGAGGTTTCCAACAACATGAATAGGAGAAACAAAATTTAGCTGTCTGTATTTTCAACTTAAGTTTAAGTCATAGAACATAAATACATTCTTTTAAGACAGACAAGAGGGAAAAAGCATTGGAAAGTTATTTAAAAAGGTGGAGTTGGAAGAGTTTTGGGAGATGAGTACTATTGAAAATCATTAATTATTTCAAACCTTGTCATGAAGGAATTACTATAAAGAGAAAACTTCCAATGTTAAAAATGGTAATCACTAGCCTTCACGCCAAATGGTTAAGATGGGCACACAAAATGGACTGTGCATCACAAAGAGATTTTCCAAAATATAACACATTCCCATATTACCATTTCTATTACATTTTAATCCTTAAACCATAATGCAATTCATAATTATTTGGAGTTTATGCAATGGTAAATTAAATCAAGTAAGTAAACTTACACAAATATATATAAATGCAGATAATTCTGAATTGTTTCTGAGGCCCTAGATAATTAAGTCTTCATTAAATATAATTTAGAACTTTGGACATAAGTAAAAGGATTAGGTGAGGTTATAAAAGATAACATGAATAAACACGGAAAAAACAAAGTAACCTCAAAGTTCAAAGATAAAGAAACTAAGACATCCAAGAGTTTCAAGAACTAGCCAATTTGTACACTGGGAAAATGTCTTCCATAGAAGGTCCCTCATACTTTGGTGGTGGATGCTAACCCAACAAGAGGTTAGCCTAAAACAATATTTAACTCCTATCCTCTCAATTGTTTTATGAAATTTCTAAAGGACAGGAAGAGAATGTCAAATAACACTGAAGTAGGACAAGCCTAGAAACCAAAGACAGAATCAACTAATGGCTACCTCTTTGAGTTGCAAGCAATGAACATACCTCAGTAACTTGGAGACATACCCAATCTTGGCTATTTCTGATTCTGGGAGGGAAAACATACCTATCTCCTCATGTTGTGCCAAAAATATATTCATTATGATTACTACTTTCCTTTTTAAATTTAAAGATTGGGCCCTTAAGGTTCTGCCACCTCCCCCTTCATCATTCTAGACTGTAGGGCCATCCCTATTGCCAGCAGTTATGATCAGAAAAGGAAAGGATGGAAGGAAGACAGGTAACAAAGACTAAGCTAATGTATATTAATACAAAGACCATGCAATTATTTCTATAAGGATGACTAATTAGAGCAGACAGATGCAGTAAAATGCAAGCATAAAATTGTATTCAATTGAACTAGATAGAGTATCTATTCCTCTTTGCTTGACTGCCAAATCTGTGAATTTGGTATATTTTCCATTGAGAAGAAAGAGGTATAGTTATACTGACAAGCTGGAGTTTTTAGGTGGGCATGTGGTGATAAATGAATTTGGTATAAAGGACTCCCTTTGGAGCTAGATATGATAATCTGTCATACTGACTTTTTTTTTTTTTTTAAGTTTTAGCATTTGTTTGGAGAAAATAATTTTTAGTCATATTTTATTGAAGAAACCAAGTGTCAATAATGCTCATTTAAAAAACAAAAGATAATGTTCACTTTAGTGGGAGATCTTATTTTTTGGTTCCTACAGTCTGGATTGGTATAGGAGAAAGTAGCAGAAAGTGACATTTGTTCTTGCCTGTAATGTTGTGGTTCTGCTAGGCCCTCTTAAACCAATCCATATGGTTTACTCTAAGAAAAAAATGAAGAAACAAAAACATCAACAAGAAAGAGCACCACAGTCATAGTATAGTATGTGCTCAATGTGTTGAATAATGTGATTTCACAGATATATCTGCCCTTTTGTTTAAAATGAATATTCTCAAGTATGGAAGACTAAATGACCCAGGGCTTAACAGCCATCTTCATCCAAGTCATCTGTCTTCTCTTGCTGGCAGGAGGGATACCTCTGAAAGTCTGGATTGGCATAGCATGAACTAGCAGAACCATCATTTACAGGTAACAACAAATTTACCTTCCAGACTCAGGACGCGAGGTCCACCTCAGGCTCCTCCCAAACAAGGAAGATCTGCTCCACCACTTCCTGCTCCAGGGCCACTCGTGAGAGCTATCTGGGAGCGACTCTCCTTCCCTGCAAGGTAAGCTGTCATCAGGTCCTGTAGGACATGGCCAAATCCAAATGCTGAGGGATCCCCAATACAAATGTATGATAACCTCTATCTGTCTGTTTGTAAGAAAATAATGGGGCTGGAAGTCTTACTTTCAGAACGTTAAGAACATTCTCAGATAGTCCAGATGGCCAGTATTCAGATTCTCAAAGGGCACACATGATGCTTAGGACAGAAATACAGATTTCCCTCCACAGAGCTGCCAACCTATAATGTTATTTTGATAACCACAATCTTTAATACATTAGCAGATACATAAGTGGGTAGAGGTTAGATCTGAAGTTGTTACACATAAGTAACCAAGAAAGACTCTATCCCCATGGTATGGCAAATGTACAAAAAGCCACCATTTACATACCTTAAGACTAACAAGCATAAAATTACTAAAGTCCATCTAGCAGAGAAGGATGATATATTATTTGGCCCCAAAAGAGGAGCAAACATTAAAGAAAGAAATAAGAATTCTACATACTACTTACTGAATTGGCAAGAAGTAGAAATAAGAAAAAAAATGATTGTTCCCACCTTCTCCAGAGAGTCCACTCACCTTTAGATACCATATCTATTTTTTGAGGTGGTGGTGGCAGAGAAATGGGGAGTTCAAGGAGACTACAAAAGGAAAATAAAACGCCTGGCGTAGAAGATGAAGGATGAGAAAATGCTATGCATGTGTAAAGATATAGGAAGTGAAGATCACAAATTTGAAAGGCTTTAAACAGTCCATAATTAAAGAACAACAACAAACTATGTTAAAGCTAAATTGGTTAAGTACTAGGAGACTCCAAATGAGAATTAAAAACCACTTTAGGGAATAGACAACAATTAAAACAATACAAGATTTACTTAGGCTTTTCTTTTTTGCCAATATATTTTTTTTTAATTTAAGCTTTAAAATATAAGGCAGGCAATTTTCATTTTATGAGGGTTCATTAATTTCTGAGAATCTGTTTCATAATATGTAACTCAGATGGAACCTGAGTAGTGCCAGAAACTAATTTACTTCTATTAGAAAGTCTGCAGTCTAGAATGAGCACTGGAGATTTTTCTTTAGTTATAATGGAGATCAAGTCCTATTATTTTCAGTAAGAATTTTGTGATGTAGATCAAGGATAGGGTGGAAAATACTCCACAAAAAAACAAAAGATAACTTAACTTGAAAAAGATTACTCATATAAACATATAGCTGAGAAAAAGATCATGCGTTTTAATACAAACTATTGCTACTATACATATATACAAACAAAAGGATGTTCATTTTTCTGTCCTTAAAATTTAAAAATTTAGATATGTATTACCAAGAAATACAGATAACTTTATTCCTTCAAAAAATGCTATTGTGCCAGGCGTAGTGGTGCATGCCTGTAATCCCAGCGGCTTGGGAGGCTAAGGTAGGAGGATCGTGAATTGAAAGCAAGTGAGGCACCTAGCAATAGGGCTGAGGATGTGGCTCAGAGGTCGAGTGCCCCTAAATTCAATCCCCCCAATACTATTAAAAAGAAAAAATAGCTAACATTCTGGTTGGGTACAGAAAGAGAATTAGAATATGTCATGTAAGTAATACCAAGTATATCTGAGGAGGCAGAATGGAAAAGTATGAGAAAAGCTTAAAAAAGTTGTAGCATACATGTATACTGTTGATTGAACCCAGGGCCTTGCACAAGTTGGGCAAGCACTCTACCAATGAGCTATACCCTTAGCCCTTTATTTTGAAACACAGTGTTAAGTTGCCCAGCTGGCCTCTAACTTGATCCTCCTGCCTATGTCTCCTAAATAACTGGGATAACAGGAATGTGTCACAATGTTCACCTTACAAAGGACTTCTTTTTGGTATAAAACTATAACTATTTTCAAGGGAGAAATGTTTTAGCAATGACAGTATCAACAAGCCATGAGAGTACGTAGTTTGGGTACCAAATAGAAGGTACCTTAAGTCTGTAAATATATAACTGAAGAAATATGATTTTAGCTTTTGTATAGTTTCATGTACATTTGGTATTAGCACATCCTGGCCTGTGTTGTAATACCCAGGAAAGAAATCTTTTACTTGATTTTACAAGGTAAACAATGAGAAGAAATGCTATAGCTTTTATTTTTTAAATTTTTTTTGGGGGGGGCAGATTTGAGTTCTTTTTTTTTTTTAATTTTTATTTCATACATTTGATTCAAGTGGGTTATGAACTCCCATTTTTACCCTGTATATAGATTGCAGAATCACATCGGTTACACATCCATGTTTTTACATACTGCCATACTATTGTCTGTTGTATTCTGCTGCCTTTCCTATCCTCTACTATCCCCCTCCTCTCCCTTCCCCTCCCATCTTCTCTCTCTACCTCATCTACTATAATTCATTTCTCCCCCTTGTTTTTTTTTCTCTTTCCCCTCACATATAATTTTGTATAACAATGAGGGTCTCCTTCCATTTCCATGCAATTTCCCTTCTCTCTCCTTTTCCCTCCCACCTCTCGTCCCTGTTTAATGTTAATCTTCTTCTCATGCTCTTCCTCCTTGCTCTGTTCTTAGTTGTTCTCCTTATATCAAAGAAGACATCTGGCATTTGTTTTTTAGGGATTGGCTAGCTTCACTTAGCATAATCTGCTCTAATGCCATCCATTTCCCTGCAAATTCCATGATTTTGTCATTTTTTAGTGCAGAGTAATACTCCATTGTGTATAAATGCCACATTTTTTAATCCATTCATCTATTGAAGGGCATCTAGGTTGGTTCCACAGTCTAGCTATTGTGAATTGTGCTGCTATGAACATCGATGTAGCAGTATCTCTATAGTATGCTCTTTTAAGGTCTTTAGGGAATAGTAGCTTTTAAAAAGTTAAAAAAAATTAAGTGATTTAAAGCAAAGTGTTCTGAATAAATATAAATCAACTAACTGATACTGGAGTTATCCAAATAACTTTGGATATCCAAATATCCAAAACAGTATCCAAATCTATAATAATTTTCCACAATTTATAGATATGGATACTGCTTTTTGGGACTTAACAAAAAACAACAACAACAAACAAGAAACCCCAGAGTTTAAATTATGAAAAGCTGGTCAAAGTCCAAAGTTGAAAATTACTATTCAGCTACTTAAAAAAGTAATAAGAATTTCTTCATTGAAAAAAGATGGAAGTTGGGGACAGTGGTGCATGCCTGCAATTGCAGTGACTTGGAAAGCTGAGTCAGGAGGATTGCATGTCAAGGTCAGACTCAGCAACTTAGCAAGGCCCTGTCTCAAACAAAACAAAACAACAAAAAAGCAAAAATTAAAATGGATTAGGTGAATCAGACGATTTTAAAGATGTCTCTCAGTTTGTGATCACAAAATTTAGGATTATTTTAAAGTGGCTTAGTGGTTTCTAACCTCAGGGACTGCCAAGGAAGGGGTGGACCAAGGGGCTTTGGCAGTATTAGTCCTGCCAAACCAATCAGTGCAGTTTCCTTTTACCCTGGCTGTGTTCTGAGGTTTGAGTCAGATTTATTAGGTTCTGTGCTGTAAGAGTTAATGTTCTGATAGTTAAATATCTGAAAAACTACCACTTTGTTAAAATGATATATCAGAAATATGGAAACATAATATACAGATTTTGATGAAGTAGATATATTGAAAAATAATGGGTATCCAATTCCATTGTAGATTATTTTAAAAGTCACTATTGTACTTTCATCAAGAGGCTATAGTTTTAGACATAGTTTGCCAAAACTTTGTTCCCAGAAGTTTAAGAGATATGTGATGGAAAGAATTCTATTCTTGAAGTACTAATTACAATAATATCTAAGTACAGAAAGAGAGGAAATATTTATGTGAGATCCTTATTCCAGAAGAGTCTGGGTTAAGTTAAAGAAGCCAGACACTTAAATGCCAATTCCTGTCTCTCCCCAACACACACACACTTTTTTTTTTTTTTTAATTGTTGCATTATAGTTATACACACTGATAGGATCTGTTGTTACATATTTGTACATGCACTCAATATACAATATAACAATATAATTTGACCAATATCACTCTCCAGCACTTCCCAATTCCTGTTTCAATTAGAACAGCTCTGTCTTCCACATTACACATTGGGTGCTTTTTTAAAAGTAAGTTTGAAAAGAATCCCCTAGGAGCAGGGAAAGACTCCTAACCTATACTAATATAGGTGAGATGGCAGACAGAGTCCACAAGAAGACGCCCTACTGATGAACCTACGTCAGTTAGAGCAAGTATCAAGAAGACTCTGATGGTACAAGGCAGGGTCTTCAGCTCCTGATAATAAGTTTCCTAAAGTCAAAGCCACCAACTCCCCTTAGAGACAAAACGATCTTGGGGGAGGACCATGAAAACTTAATTCTAAAAGACAAAAAAATTGAGTTTAACATGAGCTCTAACCTCTTAAAACAAATGGCTTCAAATGAAGATCCTGATTAAGATAATAAAGAAAACTCATACTACTAAGATATACTGAGGAATTATCAATATAAAGTTTTTCCTAACTGATAAAGGTAAGATTAAAGTTTACCCTCGATTACCATCTTCAATCCCACTCCCTTTACTCCTCTCAGCAGGAAACCACAATTCTCAGTTTAGTATTTATCCTTGCAAAACTTTTTCAATGGACTCTATTTTCTAACCTGTAAAAATAGAATACTAGTATATATCTGACAGGAAAAGAACAGAGGTGAGTTGTAAGGCAGATGATTTTTTTTCTTTTTAGTTCATCAATGTCTTGGGCAGGGGGAGCTAAGACCTATTATAAACCATAGTTTTACATTAAATTCAACTGAAGAAGAAGATATCCGCCTATTTCCAGGGTTGTAATTATGTGCTCTATGATAGAACATTTTAATCTTAAAAAAAGCAAAGTAGAAAACAAAATTAATCAATTTCAAATAGAAGTTTTCTCACAAGAACTTTATATTTTTGGTGGTACTGGGGAATGAACCTAGGGTCTCATGCATGCTAGGCAGTGTTCTACCACTGAGCTACACTCCCAGCCCTTGTGAAATTATACTTTCAGAGAGGGTCTTGCTAAGCTGCTTAGACTGGCTTTGAACTTTGTGATCATCCTGCCTCAGCTTCCCAAGTAAATGGGATTAAAAGTATGTACCACCTAACCAGGCTCAGAAAAAAACCTTTAATATAGTATAACTGTTCAAAGATAATGTACAGGAACTAAAGTGTGCTTTTGGGACGTTGAAATGCTATTTTTAAAAAATTCTGACTACTTATATAAAACCGGCTGACCTAGTTAATGCTATTAAAACATAAAAAGCAGATCTGAAGAGATAGGAGGGCCTTTTAGAAGGAGAAAACAGACAAATGTTGCAGGAATCTGGGATGAACAGTTAATTCTGAGCTTCTCAGGACTAGAAAGCAATATTACAAGACAAGAGAATTATGGATTTGCTACTTAGTTTTCTAAAGCTGTTGGTGCCTTGCATGTAATATACTTTACAATTGTGACACTATCATCAACATTACAGCAAAATAAATCACTTACTTGATGAGATATGTATATAAGAATCCACTTCAGGGGCTAGGACTATAGCTCAGTGGCAGAGCACTTGCCTAGCATGTAGGAGGCACTGGGTTCAATCCTCAGCACCACATAAAAAGAAACATAAAAGCTGCCCATAGACAACTACCAAAAAATTAAAAAAAAAAAAAAAAAAGAAAAGAAAAGAAAAAAGAAAGAAAGAAAAAAAAAAAAAGAATCCACTTCAGGTTGTTTTTAGAAAGGCAGCATGTCACTAATGGTTTAACATTTATACTTTCAACAATAGTAACAACCCCCAACCCTGGGGTAAATTAATGAACTGGGCTTTAATTTGTATTTCTACCTTTGAATTAATATGCTAAATTGTGATCAAAATTCTTTACTGGCCATGAAACAGTGGAAAATTCATTTGGATTATGATAACAGGAAACCAAACTCACTTTTGTTCACATGATGTTATTTAAAATTGGGCTATTTAAAATAAAGTCCTAAATCCACAAAATTTCATTATTTTGTAAATTCCCTTTCCTTTTTATACGTGTACAGAGAATCTTTAAATATTAATTAAACTTCTAGACAAGTTAAAATATTGGAGAGAATTCATCACAGATAAATCAAAAGTAAAAAAAGCTTGTCATTAGACATTTTTGACACTAATTTTGAAGTACTTCAGATGCTCTGAAAAGAACACCTTTAAAAAAAAAATAGTTTTAGTTGTAGATGGATGCAATACCTTTATTTTGTTTTTGTTTATTAGTTTTTTTTTTTTTTTTTTATGTGGTGCTAGGGATTGAACCCAGGGCCTCACATATGCTAGGTAAGTGCTCTACCACTGAGCCCCCAGCTCCAGCCCCTGAAAAGAACAACTTAAAAAAATTTTTTTTTTGGTGTGTGTGTGGGTGCTGGGGATTGAACCCTGTGCATGTGATGCAAGCACTCTACCAACTGAGCTGTATCCCCAGCCCTTAAAGAGTTTTTGATGGTACATATCATTTATTTCAGCTCACAATGCCACATTACTAATATTGATTTTACATTTGGAAAACACTGGAAAAAAATATCCTTGAATTATTTAGTCAAATCACAAAGATGCAGGTAACATACATGATGGATGTTAGGTTGAGCCATGACATTATCAATATGCAACTATTTTTGATATACAAAGCCTGGTAAAATATATACATATATATGTTTCACTCAATAAGAAAATTGGATGAGACTAGTACTTTTCCCTATTTAAAAAGCATTTAAATTGCAAGTTTTTTTTGGCAGTGCTGAGGACTGAATCCAGGGCCTTGTACATGCTTGGTTGCACCCTACCACTGAGCCACACCTCTGGAGTGTGAATCCAGAGGCTCACATATTTTAGGAAAGCATTCTACCACTAGCTACACTCCCATCCCTCATACTGCAATTTCATTTCTTTTCTTTCTTTCTTTTTTTAAAAATTTCTTTCTTCTCGTAGATGGACACAATATCTTTATTTACTTATTTTTATGTGGTGCTGAGGATTGAACCCAGGGCCTCACACATGCTAGGCAAACACTCTACCACTGAGCTACAGCCCCTGCCCATACTGCAATTTCTTTATACAAGACTTTATTTATAAAAGTTACAGAAGTTATTTTTTAGCTGCTAGTAAGTATAATAGTTAATAAAAGAGAAGCATATTAATTTTAAGGTATAAAACAAACATCTTTTAAGGATAAGGCTTAGACACTACTGTAAGAAAGAATAAGCATTTAAAGAAAGAATAAGCATTTCAAAATAAGGTGAGAAATGTCATACTCACATGCTTAAAACAGGTAACTGGTGCCGCTATAAAGCTATTGCTATTGATGTAGTTACCCCAGCTGAAACCTTCCATGGAGACTGCTGAAATAAAATAAATGTAGATATATTATAATTCTCAAACCTTTTTTTAATAAAAAGCTGATACTGTTAAGGTGCAAATGAAAATAAAAAAAACCTTTTTTTAGTTGTAAATGGACACAATACCTTTGTTTACTTATTTTTATGTGGTGCAAGGCAAGGGCTCTACCTCTGAGCTACAACCCCAGCTTGAAAATAAAACTTATTTATTGCCACTAAAGAAAGTTTTTCTTTTTTCTGTTAAAGATTGAAGAATTTTGCTAAATTATGTGAGCTTTTAACTTGTACCATACAGGTCAAGTATCCCTTATCTGAAATACTTGGGATCAGAAGCATTTCAGATTTCAGTTTTCTGGATTTTGAAATATTTGCATAGATGTTACTGGTGCTCAAAATGTTTCGAATTTTATTTTGAATTTCAGATTTTCTGATCAGCTTCATATTCTGATCAGTTCATTTTCAAATGAACTATAGCTTCTTTTTTTCTACATGCACTCTCCTATATTCATATGTGAATACATAACCAATGAAACTCCACATCATGTACAACCATAAAAATAGGGAGGTATACTTCATGTATGTATAATATGTCAAAATACATTCTACTGTCATGTACAACTGAAAACAACAAGATCAGAAAGTTTTCTATATGCAACACCTGCTCTGTGGAAAGTGAAGTACAAGCTTTCCAATTAGGAAAACAAGAACAGTTGAGAGAAAGTGTTCAGGTTAACAAACGCTGCTAGGGTTGCTTTTGTGTTTTCTTTTTTTTTTTTTTGTGGTGGCAGGGATTGAACCCAGGGCTTTGTGCATGCAAGGCAAGCACTCTACCAACTGAGCTATATCCCCAGCTCTGCTTTTGGGTTTTTATGTGTGTTTCAGTATGATATTTACCCCGTATCTGCCACCTAATGCCTTTATTAGTTTTGTTGTTGTTGTTTGTTTGTTTGCTTCTTGAACCAAGTTCTCATTGCATTGATCTCTGTTTAGCTGGGATTTCGAGTGCTCATTACCACACTTGGCTTTACCCAGGTTTTAAATTGTCTTGCATCTTATCTCCTTGCCTTTGTACCACCCTTAACAATCTTCTATTAGAAACAGTCCCTATTTACCTTCCTCTCCCTAATCCCTTTGAAGTCTGTATGTTTTATTTCTTTGCCCATTATTCTCCACGATGCTCCTTATAACCCACAGTAGAGACAATCAGATCATAAAAGATAAATAATTAATTAAATATAAAACTGAGATTGCCATAAGCACTAAGAACTTTTCTATGGAACAACTCCTTTTAGAATAATTTACTCAAATTAAATTCACCATCAGGAAGTCAAGAGTCATAATGTGCTAACAGGGAAGAGAAACAGCTTAAATGGAATCCAAAATTAAAATATCATTACTAAAAGCTAGATGAATCTTATTAAATATTTCCCCTATTACATTCACCAATATTACCTGCTTTCGTCTTTGCTTGATTTTGCAAGGTAGCTTGATACTGAGCATAAGCAGCTAGTTTAGCAACTAAAGGTTGTTTCTGAAGAACTTTTGCTTTTTTTGTTGGAGGCTTACCCTGAAACAAGAAGAGTTAAGTAAATAGGATTCTTTTTCATCACCCCACCACCAAAATTTAACATGATTGCGTTCTATTCATTTTGCTTAAGTAAACATTGAGGGTTTAGAAAATTATTAAAGCAGAGGAAAGATACAAGGAATTTTAACATGAGGAATTTTTTCTGGAGTTCTGCTACAATGTAAATATCTAACATGGGTAGCAGACCTGGCATAGACTAAAACAGCAATATGCAAATTAATATGTTAATAAAAAATTATATCCCATAAAATGTTAAAGTATAGGCTGTGGATACTTGATTTCTTCTTACAGTAGAAAGAACCAGTGGTTATTCACTCATGCAGGCTGCCAAGCATTGCTATTTATATGGTAAGAGAAGATAATTTAATGTTCAAAGAGCAAGTGACTGAGGTTTATACCTTTAGTGCTAACGCAAAAGATCAATGACAAAATGATCATGGCCAAATTCACAGTGTGACAAACTGCCATCCATTTGGGTACAGACCACTGTTCAGGATCTTTAGGTACTGTCTATCTGAAATATAGAAATACATCTAAGTGATGTATTTCCTTAATTTGGGGGACTTAAATAACCCTTTCAGTGCTATGTAATGATCACAATAAGTAAAACAAACAAACAAAAATGTGACCATCCAATGAAAGATATTAAAAAATCATTTACAAAATGCTATATATGATACAATAGTAATAACTAAGTCAAATAGTCAAGATTCCCTCCGTTCAAAGAATAATTATCCTCCTTCCGTTCTATAAATGTTTTCAAAAACAAGCAAATGCTTGATCAAGGTAGCAATTGCATCATAATGCAAAGTACAATGCTGTGCTTGGCTAGCATGTGTGAGGCCCTAGGTTTCATGCCCAGCACCATACACACACACACACATATACACAAGCATAAAAAAAAAAAAAAAGGATGAAGGAAAATTAAAACCAGAGAGTAAAAATTGTACCCAGAAAGTAAATTGTTTCCCCTAACCTGTTAAAAGATTCTACTTTGGTATTAACTCAAAAGGAAACAAGAAGGGGAAAGAAAATGGCTCCATTTTTTATATGTACAAAGGTATTTCTTTTCACTTAGTGAAAAGGGTAAGTACTGTCAATTCACTTACACAAGCAATTTATAATTTGTTTTGGATAGCATGCCTTATCCATTTAAAATAGATAATGTTATAAAACTATGGAGTTCACAAATTTCCTAAAATATGTGGGACACAAAATAACTGGCCACTTGGATAGAGGTAGAATGCAATGAAACACAATCAAATGACAGATAAATGGTGAAAGTCATAGAAATAACAGATATAAAGAATAAGAAGGTTTCTGTACCGTTACCTGAAGTCTGGCCAAAATGCTTGCCTTCTTGGAGTTTGACGAATAACTTCTTGAACAGGAAACACTGCAGAAACGTTTTGTTTTAGAGTAAAAGGCATCTCGCACACCAACCATCCCACACATCTCGCAGGTGGCTAATTAACAAAATGAAGATATTGGTTTTGATTTAATCGTACAATAAAAAATCAAATCTTATCTAACATTTTAATAATTACTCAACTATCTATTTTCATTTAAAAAAATTATCTTGAAAATTTCTTCTTATATTTATACAAATTACAGAGACAAAAAAAAAAAAAAGAGAAAAAAAAGTAGGGCTAGCCTTGGCAACTTAGTGAGATTCTATCTCAAAATATAAAAAGGCTGCATATGTGGCTCAGTGGTAGAGGACTAGGTATTTCATATATAACACATATTCCAAGTTTTTGAAAGAATATAAACAAAATATAAAAGAGGCACAAGACAACTGAGAATTACCATGAATTGCAGCTTAAGTTTTTAAAATAATACAAAGGTAACACTTGGAAAAATCCTAATGGCAAGTTGAGGATTATTTTCAAGTTATGTTCAGGGGACATGAAGGAAGTGATATTCAAGTTTTGAGATAGCTGCTCTATTATTAACCAGTAATGGTGGTAAATACTGTGACTTTTAAGAGACGTTTCATTAACAGATAATAAATACGCTGAAAAGTAGAATTTAATCAACAAGTTCATAAGAACTGAAGTTTTAAACAGCTAAATAGGAAATAACATAGCAAATAATGTTAATGTTTCCACCACCCAAACATGAAGGAACTTACAAGGTACTGATTATTATGTAAATGGGAAATCTGTAAGTTACTCTACAAAGCTACTGAAATCATGAAAAAAAGATTAAGTGCCAGAAGATTAGAGATGAATATAGGGCGTCAAATGGTAGAAAAATCTAAATGATTTCTAATCATAAAAATTTTAGAATAGATTGTTATAAAGGCTCATGACCACCTAGATTAAAAAAAAAAGTTATGATCCCCCAAGGACAACAAATCCTTGCCAAGAATGATATGTGTCAAACTAGAACTCCCTTGATTAGGACCCAAGCTTCATCAGGACAGGAATCTTATTCTGTGCTATTCATTTCTGCCTCCAGTAATTAAAGCAGATGCTAGCATATATGAAGTATTAATAATAACCTTTTCTTCTGCAATACGGTTACCAGACTGGCATGCTATAACCAAAGCATGGCAAGACTAGGTATCAATAGGCATTAATATATTTGATAAAATCTCTCACACAGCTCTGTCAACCATGATCGAGAAATAGCAGTTGGAGTAGAAAACACCTAGGCTTGCCTTTTTTTTTTAAAAATGTGGTGCTGGGGATTTAAGCCTGAGCCTTGCCCATGCTAGGTAAGTGCTCTACTGCTAAGCTACAATCCCAGCTCTCCCTAGGTAGGTTTCAACTGGTAGGATGACCACATCTAGTGAGTCTTGATAAAAGATGGGAATTTTTTGTCATGGTCTGGCAAGACCCTGTATCAGACCCTGAGATGTACAACTTTTTAATCAAAAGGCCAGAACAGGATTAACAGGGTAGAGTTATCAAATCTGGAAGATTGGATAACACAGTATTCAACATTAGATAGCAATTTAATTCTGCTAAGACTTAAAAGTTATTAAGAAAAAGATTTCAAAGAGATTCAAAGTCCTATTCCTTTGGGTTAAGGCAATTAAAGCACAAGATCAACGCAAACTGATTTATGTGGTAAAGAATACAAACCAAACCAAAACCCAGTTATTTGTAATTCGGTATTATATTCATAAAAGGCAAAACAATGTTGGTTGTTTACATGGAAATAGTGCGCTGAAAATGGCAGTAAAAGGGGGATGGGGTTATAGTTCAGTGTCAGAGCGCTTGCCTCACACATGTGAGGCAGTGGTTCAATCCTCAGCACCACATAAAAATAAAGATATTGTGATCTTATTAAAAAAAAAAAAAAAAAAGGCAGTAAAGGCTGAATTATCTTCTGCTCTAATCATAAAGGGGGACCAAACATTTGCTTGAGGTGTTTTCCAGGATGGGAGACTTTCAATAGTTAAAAACAGGACAGTCCCAGGCAAATCAGGAGGAGTAGCCACCCTTTTGCCACACAATCTGAAAATTCCCAGAGGAAAGTGACCCATATATTGAATTAAATCACTGTGATGCTACGAGAAATGGCTGAAACAACTGTGGCTACTTGATGTGTCCAGAGACAATCTAGATTAGAATTCTTCTTCTTTTTTTTTTAATATTTATTTTTTAGTTTTTGGTGGACACAACATCTTTGTTTGTATGTGGTGCCGAGGATCGAACCCGGGCCGCACGCATGCCAGGCGAGCGCACTACCGCTTGAGCCACATCCCCAGCCCCTAGATTAGAATTATTCTGTGTACTTTTTTTTTTTTTTAATTTCATCATCTTCATAATACCAATCCTGAGCACACTACTATTTACTAATTTATTTATTTATTTTGGTGGCACTGTTGATTACATGCTCCTATTATATACCCAGTCCCTTGTGTAATTTATTTATTTTTTGGTACTGGGGATTGAACCCAGGACACTTTACCACTGAGTTACATCCTTGGCTCTTGTTACTTTGTGAAAGGGTCGCACCAAGTTGCTTAGCAACTTTCTACGGTGCCCAGGATGGTCTTGAATTTGTGATCCTTCTGCCTCAGCCTCAGAGTATCTGGGATTACAGGCGTGTACCACCATACTTGCCTTTTATGTAGCTTTATAAGCAACTTTAAAACCAAAAGACAAAAATTAGAGCAGAATATTTTTAGTCCAATATGAAGACTATTCTAGTAATTAGAGCTATTAAGAGAATGAAATTGCTTTCTGAGTCAGAGAGTACCTTATAATTGGAAACGTCAAAACAGAAGACTTAGGAGGAATTGTGAGAAAAAAGCTTTACCATGAACATCTCTTTCAAATCTGTACCTCTACGATCCTTCATATTTTCAGTTATGTAAGGATTTATTATCTACTGAATTTATGTCCACATTAAGTTTCTCAATAACCTTTTGCTTTTTATTTCATTCTACTTGCTTTCCACTAGGAGGAGGTAGGCAAAAACAGAGCTTAAACATATACTCAGTGTCCTATCTGGAACTATGATTCAGGTTCTGCCTCTTCATATAGTGCTTCAAAATTCTAAGGAAGGGAAATGATGGAAAAAATCAAATGAAAACACACCCTTGAACACAAAGTTGTACAACAGGTGAAAGCTATAAATACTCACCCATGCCAGATTTACCATCTGGGTATGTGTACACTTGTCCATTGTTTTTGATAATTGGAAGATTGGAAGGTAAAGGAGCAACTTCTTCTTCACTCTCCTCGGAGCTGGAGCTGCTACTTGTGTCCTCACTGCAGCTATCATAACCGTCGAACATCCCGAATGAGTCTCTTCTTTTTCTTTTGGATTGTGAAGAATGTTCTGTCTTAAAGTACAAGAAACCAGTAACACATGATAGAATACTCAAACATATCCTCTGAAAGACCTCAGCACACATTTTGGTAAATGATATTTGATGAAATCTGGCACTGAAAAACGATAATTTTATTTTATAATGAAAAGCTTAATATTTATGTCAAAAAGGAGTCCTCCACTTATGAGACATAAATCTATCATTATTACATTACTAATAATATTAATAATTACAATGATGAACAGTGAATGTGAATCAGAAGACTATCATGTAACTCAAGTTTTATCTTAAACTAGGCATGTTACTTTTCTATATAAAGATTGGATGATTTCTTAAAAAAAAAACAAAAAACTGTAGTGAACCACATAAATAGATTTCTTAATTTGCCTTTCATCTCTAAAATTGTAAATTTCTTTACCAATTTAGAGCATCCAGAAAATAGATATTTTAAAAAAATCACTGCTAATAATTATAAAAGGACTAATGGAAAATTTTAAATTTCAGAGATAATTTTAAGGTATTAACTATTTCAAACATTATTGAAGATAACATTTCTACCTATATAAAACTCTATTTCATTTTTTAAAACATAAAACAATAGCAAAAGCCCAACCCAATGATCTCAAACTAAACATTATTTTTTCTTCAAATAGCACAAAGACACTTTATCATCTTCAATGAACGCAGCCATGTCTTTTCCAAAAGATGTTCCCTCACTCAAGCCATGAAAAAAGAAAAACCCAAATACTGCTATTCCAACACCCTGATACGAATTCCACAACTTCAAGTCCGGTAAGAAGAAAGTCAAAATAAAATAGAAAACAACGAAGAGGAAAAAAAGGATGCAGAGAGCTATTAATTCGACAGGGAAAACTACTAACTGAAGAATCTTTAGGAATTGGCATCTAATTTTATTCTTTTGCTTCAGTTAATGTGTGTTTGTGTGTATCTCATCTTAAACTTTCTTTACAATTTCTTTTCTGGGTAGTCTAACTTCCTTCTGGTATTCCATGGCCAATAACAAAGCTAAAATCTATTGTTCACATGTATTGGGATGGGAAGCTGATTCATTCATATTAGGTGTTAACTATGAAAGCACAAACACAGTGGAAATATTATATCCCCAAAGAATACTGACATTTAAGAACTCCCTCTGGGAAGGCTCTTTACATGTCCCCATAATGTTCCACAACCACCAACCCATAGTACTCTTCTTTTAGAACTTTTAGACTGAATTTTAAACAGAAAAATATTTAAAATTACTCTTTTCCTAATTTTTCTTAGCATGATCATCCATGTTATTCAGCAGATTTGGTTCTGAACAACTTGTAGGTATTTTTATGAATTAAATGCATTATCGAAAAAAAATCAGTTTTGCTACCATTAGAGTTTAAAAGAATAAATCAGGCTGTAAAGGATGGGAAAATCCTCATTTAGATGTAGTGTGGTACAAAGAACACAGAATTCTGACACACCTGCTATTTATTGCGTGAGAACTTGAGCAAGTTGTGAGTTTTTTCTCATATTCTCTAAAGATTCATCAACTATTTATCAAACGTGTGTCTCACAGTAACTGAAGGTTAAGAGAATGGTGTACAGAGAAGATCCAGGGTTCTTATAAAGGTTGTAGTATTTGCGGGATATACTACACAAGCAAGAAGGGGGGTCATAGGGACTGTCAGCTGAGATTCAGTGGCAACAAACAGTCTCAGTGAGGTAAGACTCCAAGAACAACAAAACAAAACAGCAACCTTTTGAATATATGCTGCTCCATATACTAGGCAAATAAAAGATCTTTCAGTCTGGCATACTAAAAAGGCTAACATCGGTTGAGGCGGGGGCTCGGGTTCAGTGGCAGAGCACTTGCCTTGCACGTCTAAGGCACTGGGTTTGGTCCTCAGCACCACTCAAAAATAAACACATAAAATAAAGGCATGCTGTTCATTCAAAACCACACACACACACACACACACACACACACACACACACACAAAAGACCAATATGGCTAATGCCTAATGAACAGTGTAGGAGATGAGATCAAAGGTGGGATGTACTGCCCAGGTCATGTGATCATTGTAGGCCAGTTTAGGTAAGCAATATTTTTCTTTGGGCAATGGGAAGACATTATGAACTATTTGCTACAATGTCTGGTATGCACACTTCATATACATGTGTTAGACTCTTCTAATAAATTCATAAAAGCTCACCTCCATGAGGAGGTGACCTTTTACACTCCCAAGTGGCCTTTTAAACTCACTAGTTTTCATAGAAGCTTGTATACTATACAGCCAAATCAGCAGCTACTGCATGTTTATTGCAATGTCAATCCAGAATATCTTCTAATTCTTGAGTTGAAATTTTAGGAGATCAATGATTACAAACATTTTGAGCTTCAATAATTATAGGCTGTGGGCTGGGGATGTGGCTCAAGCGGTAGCGCGCTTGCCTGGCATGCGTGCGGCCCGGGTTCGATCCTCAGCACCACATACAAACAAAGATGTTGTGTCTGCCGATAACTAAAAAAATAAATATTAAAATTCTCTCTCTCTCTTTAAAAAAAAATAATAATTATAGGCTGTTATCATTTTTTAAAAGTACCACAGTTGAAGGTGAGATGTGATGTTGCATCCTGTAATCCCAGCAGCTTGGGAGGCCGAGGCAGGAGGATACTGAGTTTATAACCAGCGCCAGCAACTTAGTTGAGGCCTTAAGCAATTTAGCAAGACCATGTCTCAAAATAAAAAATAAAAAGGGTTGGGATGTGGCTCAGTGGTTAAGTGCTCCCAGGTTCAATCCTGTACGTCCCCCTCTCCAAAATACTACAGTCAAATATATTTAGAAAATTTTCCTTACTTCAAAGTCTTCTGGAGTCTTGAATGCTTATGAACATTATGATTATCAAAGAGGGATAGGTAGTATGTAGTCTTTTCCAAATTATCTTGAAGGACTAATATTCTAGTTCTCTGACCTTTTCAGCACACATGGAGAAGATCATCTATATAATGCATGGGGATGTACCCAGACTGAAACTTTTGGTTGCCCTAAGTATTGTAGGGATGAGTATCTTCTTGTTTTGCATTACTGGGGATTGAGCCCTGGGCCTTGTGCAGGCTGGGCAAGTGCTCTACCACCGAGCTACATCCTCTAACCCAGGGATGAACATCTTGAAATACTCACAATCCATGCCAAACTCTTTGGGAAGCTGTTTTCTATTTAGGGAGTGCTGTTCTCTAAATGTTTTTCTTACATTAAGATAGACATATAAACTATAATTGGTTTTCCCTGTGCAAAACTTATCATTATTTACTATGGAGGAACTTAAATGTCTAAAACCCCTGAGGGAGGTTACAACTTCAGTGAAAGAGTAGGTGGGGAAAAAACAAGACTACATGGAAAGAGGACTTACAAAAGAGTCTTTTCTGTGCATGCTCTTGATGGAAAGCTTCTCTGGGATTTTGTAATCACAGGTCTGCCCTCATGAGTAAGTCCAAAGTTGTAATTTACCCTCCCCACTATGGTGAAGAAATCCTCAGGGGAAGAAATTAAAGTGGGTGCAGGCTACTACTGTGCTTTGACATCAAGCAGAAGAATCCTAAATCATATCAGGTAACAGTGACCTACAGTTCAGACCTTTCAGCATTCCCACCATACATGAATGCACAAATATAAACACAATAATCCACCATGAGGAAGCATCAGCAAAAATAGATTAAGAATAACAAATACTTCAGGCATTCAAACTGCCAGAAATGGAATAAAAATAATCATACATATTCTGTTTAAGAAATAAAAATAATTGAAAAATGAGCAAAGTAATTTAAAAAATTCAATAGATTAGGCATAGCTAAATAGAGAAATGAAGGATAAATGTTAAGAAAACAATAAAACACAGGAAAATGGAAAATAAGAGGTTAGAATATAAATATCTAATAAATGTCTAATAATAATTCCTTATGCTCTTAAAAATTTTTAATTTGTTTTAATCAATACATGTATAACACAAAATTGTACATATTAATCAGGTACTATATGGTATTTCAATACATGTACACACTGCTATCAGATTAAACATACCTCCTCGAACATTGATCATTTCTTTAAGGCAAAAACATTCAAAATCCTTTTTTCTAGGCTAATGTGTGGCACATACCTGTAATCCCAGCCACCCAGGAGGAAGATCACAAGTTCAAGGTTAGCTTTGGCAATTTAGCCAGATCTTCTTTCAAAACAAAAAAACATAAAGGGCTGGGATACAGCTAGGGGATAGAGTCCTCCTGGGGTTTATTCCTAGTACTTAAAAACAAAAAACAAACAAACAAACAAAAAACAACTTTCCTGGGTTTTTGAAATACACAGAACATAATCACTAGATACAGTTTACATTTGACTGTACTGTAATACCACTGATTAACCCTCTCCACTTTAAGAGTAAGAATTCTTACAGCACAAAGAAAGATAATGTTGAATGAGATACTGGCTGAGAATTCTGCAGAAATTAGAACAGGAATTCATGGATAGATCTATAAAGCATATTAAACATAACAAAAAGATACCTATAACAAAACCAAGCATAGCAAAACTAAACACCACCAGAGAGAAGACTTAAAAATCAACCAGTCAGAGGTAGGGATATATACCTCAGTTGGTAGAGTGCTTGCCTTTCATGCACAAAGCCCTGGGTTCAATCCCTAGCACGGGGGTGGGGTGGGGTGGGGTGGGGTGGGGTGGGGTGGAATCTTGGTAGTCAACTAGCACAACTCAGGCACACCCAGTCTAATCAGCTACTTTCTACTAAGCACTCAGAGTGATCAACCAGGTAAGGACCACTGATCATTTAACAAAGGCCTCTCTAAGAGTGTGAATTAAGGACCAAAACAAATCAATAGAAAACAGAAGTAATGTATGGACCAAAAGAAAACTTTAAAAAATGTAAGTCTTCTGAGATATAAGAGTAAGACATTATCAATGAACAAAATAGATCTTGGAATTTAAAAGTAGAAGAGGCAAAACA